TTTTTTTTTTTAATAAGTTAATAAGTTATGCAATTTAAGCTTTTTATTACTATGATAAACTTTGAAGCAATTATTATAATATGTATTAATATGATTCGCATATAATTCTATGAAATTTGGTTCCTTTTTTTTAAACTCAGACACTAAATATGACAAATATGATGAAATATGATGAAATATGATGAAATTGACTTTTTATATATATAAAGGAAATTAGAACACTTACCTATTTTAATTTTTTTTTCAAAAATTCTTAATTCGATCTTTTTTTTATGAGCAATTACCTATATTTTTATAACCCATATTTTTTATACTTACCATGAACCTGAATATAATAGAATCATCGATCAGTAATGAAACATTAACAATTGAGAGCGTAAATCCATTACTCAATTCAAATGAAACTAGTAACATATTTTCTGAATATATTGCAGCTATACTTCTAGCAAATTATGATTATTCTGTAATGGAAATTCGTGAACTTTCTGACTATATTACTGCTGAAGGGTTTTTTGTAAAACAATTCAAAGCTAATTTTTTTGTAAACATTAATAGTATCAAAAGTGCACAAAAATGGATTGTTAATTTTGAGAAAAAATCAAAAACAACGATGCCACAAACTAAAAGCTATCAAATTCAAGAAAAAAAAGTTATTTTTAGACAATTAAGACATTGTATTCACAGTGAAATAGAAAGACAAAAACAAGAAAATCTCATGCTAAAAATTCTCAATTCATTGCGTAATAGAAATACTAAATGTAAGGCTACTCTTCATCTTAAACTAAAATAGTAGTGTCTTCAAACTAATTATCTACTCGAAGTAAACATTAAATATATACATAACTATGTTGTTTATTCTGCAAAAGCTCTTAGCTTTAGATATATTAAGGATGAGGTTCATGATAAATATATTGAACTTTTTGAAAATGAACACTCATCAGCTACTGCTCAATATACTTATGAAGATAGCCTTCATTTACTTGCAAATAATGATCATAAACTTATGCAAATATTAGCAGATCATGCTCGAAATCCTAATTATAATTATGTTTTGTACTTATTTAAACAGTTTCAAAATAGTTGTCTTAGTAAAAAAATAGCACATCTATGTTCCAATAGCTTGAAAATGAAGTTGATTTATATAATAATTCTGAAAAAGGTCACGCTATTTTTCAAGAGTATAATTCATAGTCAAATAAAGCCTTCATTCTTTGTGTTGTTACAAACTTAATAGCTTGTATCTATAAAAAGGTTCAACAATCTAGAGAAATCTGCTATATGGATGCTTCAGCATCTTTTGAGCCTTTGAATACTTCGATAACATTGTTTTATACAAGTTATATTGTGAGGACTTTGCCTCTCAACCTTCTTATAATATCTGATAAGCTAGAAACAACTCTTGAAAAGGGAATGAAGATGCTGAAATCACTCCTCCCACAGTACGCATTTTTTGGTTACAGAGCTGATATTGGTCCTGTAACTTTTTTGACTGATGATTCTAGTTCTGAATGCAATGCGTTAAAGCATTGTTAGCCACAATTAAAGCAATTATTATGTGTATTTCATGTTCTTCAAGTATTCTGACATTGGTTATATAATACGAAACATAATATAAATAAAGCTCATAAAATACCTATAATGAATATTATGAAAAATATATTATATGCACCAACAGAAGTTGAAATAATACGAAGTTATAATGAACTAAAAATCAATTACTATTATATATATCTACAATTGCAAAGACACTTTGAGTTGCTTTGGAACTGATGCCAATTTTGGGCAATATTCTTTCATACAGGATTTCTTATGAGGGGTAATAACACTAATAACTATATAGAGTGTAGTTTTGGATTGTTAAAAGATATCATCTTTGCCCACACACAAGCTTATAATAGTGTTCAGGTTTTTCAATTTATTGTTACAAGTATAGAACATTATTATGAATATAGATTACTTGAAATAGCATACTGCCACTCTGGTAAATTCGTATTGCTAAAAGATTTTTATGTTCCAGTTGGGATGAAATTGATGCAGCAGAAATTCAGAAAACTGAAATAAGCATGGAATATTTGGCCAAAAGTCAAAAAAAAGGCACTGTCTTATTTTATACTGTTAATATAGAATTATGTATATGTACATGTTTCATTGGACTATCCGGTGTACCTTGCAAACATCAGAGTGCAGTAGCTGCAAAATATCATATCGAATCTCTAAATTTTTTCTCCTCTTTAATACCGAATGATCATGCTTGTTTTGCGTATATTGTGTGTAGTAAGTAGTTAGTGTTTGTAGTTGACTTATATCATCAACTAATATCACACTTATTGATAATAAAATATGTATAAATTTCTTGCATATTTATACATATTTCATTGTTTTAAGTATGATATTAGTCTATGACTTGAGTCGACTACAAACATTATAGAATTTGTAATTAATGTTTAATTCTTTAAAAATATTTAAATTAATATTTAATTAATATATTAAGGAATGGTAGCAGATGATTCCTTCTATGCATCATTACATCCTCGTACAAATTATAACTCACTTGAACAATTAAATAATAATCTACATGAACAATTAGATAATAACTTACATGAACAATTAGATAATAACCCACATGAACAATTAGATATAAGTAATATTAATATGAATCAAACTTCAGAAACTGTACTAGAAGCTGATAATACAAATCAAATTGCAACAACAGAAGTGTATGTATAGTATTTATTTATCTTGATCTCTTAGGTTTTTTTTTCAAAAATTATCTAAATGATTTTTTTTTTTTATATTTAATAAGTGAATTATTTAAAGCATTTCTTGAGATAATTAAGGATGATTATAAAAATAGTAGTCCACAGCTTAGAGCTGCGCTTAAAAAGCTAGTTGAGAAATACAATATGGCAAAAGCTAAATCTATCTCAGCATTGACATCCTTTCTTTATAATATGAACTGTAATTTAGACCTACTTGTGCGAGTAAAGAGTAGAGCTAAAATCCATGTGCAAGTCGAATCAGTAAAACGCAGAAAAACAGGATCTAATGTGAAAAAATCCAGTAACAAAGAAAATCATGATCCTCACGTTATTCTAGCATACAAGACCCGAGCAGTTAGTAAAAAGAAGTACAACTTTAGTTAAAACATTACTAGGAATACTTTAAATTAGATTGTTTTTTTTTTTTTTTTTTTTTGCTCCTTAGGAGGTTTTTTTTTTTTATAATAATGAAAGCTTTATATATAGTTCTTTTATTAGCAAATCATAAAGTAGCAAATTTTATTCAACTTGTGTAGTAGCTGATTAGAAAATAGATCAATATATGAATATACTAATTATGCATATTATTTGGTTAAACTTGAGTTTTTCTGGTTTACAATTTTCTTTAAAGTTGTTTAGATAAGTAAGTGAATTTAGAATTTATACTGAATAAATTTATATTTTTTAATATTATAAGAATTATTTGCAATCGAATGTCAGAAAATTTGAAATATATGGATTAAAGATATTACTAGTATTTTATAACTCAGCTCTTTTAATTTAATTTGATTTTAAATGAGAATTGAAACGTAACTATAATATTTCAGAAAAGTTAAATGATATTTAATAACTCAGACTTGTTAAAGTTTTAGATAAGAATAATGATAATTAAAAATGTATCCTATTTTAAGCTTTTTATTTTTATATTCGAAATAGTTGTCAAAAACTTAGCATTATTAAAGCGAACATTTAATAAAGTAAAAGCCTTAATTTATTACGAAACTCTTGACTTAATCATAACTCAGTTTCAAGAATTTCACTAACTTTCAAACCTTAAATAATAAGGCAATCGTTGAACCCGTTGATTATAAACTTTTTCTTAAATAAATCAAAAACTTAGCATTAATGAAACAAACATTTAATAAAGTAAAAGCTATATATTCTTACAGTTATTACGTATCTTGATCATTACTGTCTTTATTCTAATCCCGAATTTCACTAACTTTCGAACCTTAAATAATAAATAAGACAACTATTGAACCTGTTGATTATAACCTTCTAAATGAATAAATAAAATAAAATAAAATAAAATAAAATAAAATAAAATAAAATAAAAAAAAAAAAAAAAAGCGCATATTACTGGTAATATTTATCGATAAAAAAAAGGTTGTGTTTAATTCTATTCTACTTATTATACGACATGCATAGTACTGTTTCACCAATATGCATGACCTTATGCATGAGTGTATCCGAACTGCATCACATGATAAATGATCGACAAAACCTAGCACAGAATCCATACGTGCATGCTTGTACCACCCTACCCTGTATGTATATTTGTGTAACAACAAAATACGTGTTTAAATACTCGTGCAACAACAAATACACGCGTTTGTGTTACAGTCTATCGATATGCTTTGTCATGTTTGTAGATCTCAAAAAAGTATATAAGAAACTCTTTTTCTCTTATTACGTTATTTATTCACATTTCTACTTACTTTTTCTACTTAAAAAATATATAAAAAACCTTTTTTTTCTTACTACGTTATTTACTATACTTCTTATACTTACATTTCTTATTATAATATTTAAAGATAAGTATTGATCTCAGTTATTTTATAACATAACCTCTTGGGTATCGCTCCTAGGGTTCTTGGGTTGCATCGTTGGTAGCAGCTCTTAGGTTATTCACTTAGATGGTTTACATACTGTAGGTGGATCATTTGGGTGGATATTCACGTGGCCTGAGGGGTGAATATTTTAGTATTTGTAAAGAATATTGGAAAGTTGGAGTATTCTTTGTTAAATATGAAAAATATTTTCCCGCTACTGACATGTTGACATGCCATATCTGGAGGGAACTAGGTTGTTTCAATACTCATAAACAATTCTTTTTTTTAATACTAGGTTGAAGGTTTATATCTGTTCGTTAACTTAAAAGTAGAGATTGGACTTGGTATAAAATTTAAGTTCCGTATTACCCACCCGTTTAGAAGATCGTTACTCGGGTTATTTAAAATTACCTGGTTATAATTGACCAATCAAATCAATTCCTAATATATAAAACGATGGCCGTTTGGACAAATGTAATCTTTATGAAATTGTGTGTTATATGCCAAATGATTTACATAGTTCGTATATATAATAAAATCAAATTGTTAAGATTTTATAATAGGAAATTTAACAATCTCCGGATAGATCTTTGGAACGTTATAACTGATCATTTATTGTTATTCTTTATTAAAGGTTTATAAGAATTATTGCAATTATATTAAAAAATCTATTAAAAAATTAATTATTTAACTTTATATAAGACTTGGCGCACACATATTTCGAAGCAAATGCTCAGAGTTTTTATTACATGATTTTGAAAATCGTTATAGGGCATAAGAAAACTCGACTTTATGATGTTTAACTCCCATTCTAACAAAGCAAATTTAATTATACAACTTGCAATAATAAAATAGCATAATTTTAAACCTATGCGGCCATATTTTATATTAATATGTGAATTTTGGAGATCTCTGTAGTTTATAAATAAATAAATTTTAATAGTAAAATATTTGTTATTTGTATGTTTAATTTTAGATAAAATAATACAATAAATTAGAAAATATCTCCACATAGATTTAAAGCTATGCTATTAACATATTATTTACAAATTACAGCGACAAAATTTCAAAAATCTGAACCACCCAGTAAATAAAATAAAACAAAATGCACAAAAACCTTAACCATAACAACCAATAACAAGCTACAGTAGGTTTTAATTTTCCGTAGATAGTAATATTTTTTATGGATTCTGCAACATATATTTTGAAATAAAAAAATTCTACCGAAAATTCTCAAATCTCTAAAATTTGGTATTTGTACTGATTTTTATGTTTTTTACAGGAGGGTCTCCAATTAGTGTTCTTCTGACAGGCTATTTGGATTGAATCTATATTAGAAAATTAGCTTTGAGCACCTTAAATCCGAGTAAAAATCTCTGATTTGGATATCTGGATTTAAGGATCAATCCATGTAGTCGGATTTAAGATCGGAACACTACTCCAAATTTCCGGTCCTTTGTGAATCAAATGCTTATCGTATAGTTACGGTCTCATTAAATACCGGGACAGGTCGGACCGAACTGATACGTTATGGTTTGTGTTACCTAGAGTTGTTAATACTCTGGAGTGTTAAAAATATGCTTAAAAATCTGAAGTGAAACTGGACAACCCTAAGCAAGCCTGAAGTGGCTCCGATGTAAACCCAACCCAAGCTCAACTCAACCATTAACAACTCTAATGCTACCTGCATGACGCGTCAGGCTATTTTTTTTTTAAAAAAAATTTTTTTCTTTCTCTTACGGTTGACATTTCTGACTGCATTCTTGCTCTAGATACTTTAGGCATTATTAAAATTTTCTCTTTGGTGTTTTTCCTAGATACTTTCGACGTGTATGGTGTTTTTTATGTTTCCCTGAATATTTTAACGCGTTTGGTGGTGTTTCTTCCGAATCTTTCGCGTTCTTCCTGGTGTTTTTTTAAGGTGTTCTTCTTAAGCACTTTCGACGTGTTTTCTCTGATGGTTTAATTGTGTTCTCTATGGTATTTTCTCTAGATACTTTTGGCGTTATAATGGTTTTCTCAAGTGATTTCCTGGAAACTTTTTACGTAATATGATATTGTTTTCAGTTTTAGTGTTTGTCTGGGTACTTTGTCGTTCCCCTAAGTGCTATGGATTTTTTTTTTAAGAGATTTTTGATTGATGGAAAGCGTATGTTGAAATTACACATACGTAGACTTACCTCAGCGTACATTGAAATACACGTGTGTAAACTGTCAAATGTCAGACGTGCTTCGTTTGAATTTGGTTTGGCAGACTTAAGCCTTAGAATGAAAATTTTTTTTTCCTTTCTTAGAGAATAAATCTGGTGACTTCGGAGGATTGTGTTTATTTTCCATTTACGCCCGTGTTGGTTTTTTTTTCTGGAGAATAAACTTGGTGATTCAGAAGGAGTATAAGTTTATTTTCTATTTGCACCTACTTGGTGTTTTTTTTTCTTTCTTCAATATTATATGAAGGACTTTTGACTTCCCTTTCATTTTCATTCATAGAATACCTCTGGAGATACTTTCGACGTATATAGAGTTCCTTCCGACGTATATAATGTTATCTTTGACGTTTTTCTGAAAACTTTCGGTGCAGCACGACTTTCCCGGAATTTGTATGAGTTGATATTTATGTATTTCTGCGGCATTCCGTGCAACATAGAATCATTGTCCCCGGTGATCTGTCACTGCGATCAAATATTTCAACAATCCGCTATTCAAATATACTCAAAAATTAGATTCACTAACTTTTACCTTATCGGGCTCAGTATTACTGTATTACCGAAATTATTGAAACTAATCGGAGATGTTGATTCTCAAGGACCGAGTCCTATAAACAAAAATAAGGGAATCAATTTACAGGTTTTCTATTTCCCATGACTCATGTAGAGTGTGAAAAGAAGCGTTATTTACTACCAATCCGAACCAACTATACATTCCATAATCAATAAACAAAACCTTAAATACAGTATCAAATACAAACCAGAATGCTATTAGGATCAAATAAACACGATTATATTTCGTTAGACTAGATTGTTACGGAGAATCGTAGAAGTCAATGGTATGACAGAATAAATCAAAGAGATATAGGGCAAGACAACTCGCCAGGGCTAAAACCGGCATATAATAAATGCCAGCATTCATTAAGTATCTTTCCTGATTCACATTTGATTTTGATTATCGAGAAAGGTATTTCAAATAATGGGCAGTGGTACAGTAAATGGCTATCGTTTAAATATATCGTTTTAGCCTCGGGTGTGACTAAGGAAATTTTGGATCTTTAATAAACGTAGTTTCGTTATAATTATTCTTATATGTCTCCCTTTGCACATAGGAGCCATTCCTGCTATTACATCCTTTGAATAGTATTATTATCGGAAATGTTATATACCGTATTTACGCGAAATAACACACATGGGCGTTATTTCGAAAATCGCATTCTCTTAAAATTTCATACCGGTAGTCGGTTTCGGAATAACGCCATGCGCGTCCCGAATAACGCGCACCCCATATATTAACTTTGCGCACTATTTGAAGAGTATTGGGAATTTGGTAGAAATTTGAACTTTACCCGAAGTAAAGCCCATGTGTGTACTCGAAATAACGCGCAGGTGCGCGTTATTTTGCGTAAATACGGTAATATTTCGCCAGAATTTCTATGCACTACCACGCGTAATTTTCATCATGAGCGCGTTCTTGGCTTCGCGTTTGTTTATACTGGTCGATTATTCTATTTTGGTCTCATTTTCGATCACGGGGATTTCGACGCAGCGCAGTTATCTAGTATTGAGAACAGGTGGTTTGGTCACCGGGACCAAACCGATCTTTAA